TGCTTTAAAAGGCCAGTGTGGATTAAAGATTTGAGTTCTGCTCCTGAAACTGTGTGTCGTCCAGTTATTGGGATTGCTGTTGGGATATTGCTTGGTTATTTTGCCTGCTGGAGACCTTGCCTGTGGATTTACAATGTACTTGTTCCTGAGCCTCACTTGGATTATAAGTGGAGATACCTGGGGAATATTGCATCTCCGCTACACTAACATCTTCTTTCTGTCTTTTTCTTTCACAAATAATTCACCAACAGATGTCTCAGAGGGTGCTTGGGATTGGTATGTCTTGATACTCTTAAGGAAAAGAGACGAAATAACCAAACGGGTAGCAGCTATTATCGAGGATGTAGGTACAATGGGTTCGGGAGCGGGGGGAATCGACTCTAAAGGTTCGTACTGTTGGGAGATAGCATCAGCCTTGACATTACGGTATCCAGGCCTATAAGTGATAATGTACTGAAACTGTGACAGAAATAAAGACCATCTAGCCTGACGAGAGGATAACCTTTTAGCGTCGGCTATATAGGAGAGATTTTTATGATCAGTTAGAACCAGAATTTTGTGTCTAGCTCCCTCTAATAAGTACCTCCATTCTTTAAAAGCCATCACAATAGCCAATAGTTCCCTGTTGCCGACGTCGTAATTTTTTTTCCGAATCAGACAACTTTTTAGAAAAGTAACAACAGGGATGGAGGGGTTCAGCATGAGATTGTCTTTGAGACAACACTGCTCCTACACCTGATTCAGAAGCGTCTACTTCCATAATGAAGGGAAGGATCTGGATGGTGTAGTACAGGGGCAGTGGCAAATGCCTTTTTGAGAGTCTCGAAGGCTTTAACGGCTTCAGGAGTCCAAACCCTGGGGTGCAAACCTTTTTTAGTCAGTTTCGTGATTGGAGAAATAATTGATGAAAACTTTTTAATAAACTTCCGATAATATTTGGCAAACCCTATAAACCGCTGTATAGCCTTAAGTCCTTGGGGAAGAGGCCAAGACAGTATGGCTTCTAGTTTAGAATGATCCATGCTGAATCCCTGTTCAGAAATGACATACCCTAGGAATTGTACAGATTTCTGGTCGAATAAACATTCTAGCTTGCAATAAAGACCGTTCTGTAACAACCTCTTAAGCACCAACCTCACATAAGTATGGTGTGTCTTTAAATCAGGAGAATATACAAATATGTCATCAAGGTAGGTTCGGCACAGATATGCAGTAGATCTCTAAGGACATCGTTTATGTAGTCCTGAAACACATCAGGAACATTACATAGTCCAAAAGGCATGACTAGATACTCGTAATGCCCACTACGTGTATTGACGCTGTTTTCCATTCATCATTTTCTTTTATATGAACAAGGTTATAAGCCTCCCTGAGGTCTAGTTTAGTATAATATCTAGAACCTTTAACACGATCAAACAACTCAGTGATGAGAGGGATAGGATAGGCGTTTTTAAACGTTATATTGTTCAGGCCCCTGTAGTCTATACATGGCCTCAAATTGCCTTCTTTTTTGGCAACGAAAAATAAACCAGCACCAGCAGGAGAGGAGGACCTTCTGATAAAACCTTTACTTAAGGATTCCCGTATGTACTCCTCCATGACCTGGTTTTCTTTCTCAGAAAGCGGGTAGACCTTACTCCTAGGGGGCATAGTACCTGGTAACAGGTTTATGGCACAGTCATACTCACTGTGTGGAGGTAGCTTATCAGCCTCCCTTTTTTCAAAAACCAATGCAAGGTCTGCATACACAGAAGGGACAGAAACAGAAAGTGGTTTAGCTGTGGGCACATTAAGTAAACAAACAGAATGTATATGGGCCATACAGTCTCGTTGACAAGATTCCCCTCAGGAGAGTATATCCAAATGACCCCAATCAAGTACTGGATTGTGTTTAACAACCAGGGAAAACCCAGAACGATGGAAGCTGTAGGGGAGTCAATTATCTGGAAGGTTAACCTTTCCCTGTGCAAGGCACCCACAGTCATAACCATTTCTTGGGTTTCGTGGGTCACCAGAGATTTTTTAAGTAATCTACCATCTCTGGCCTCAACGGCCAAGGGTGTGGCCTTTTGGATCAGAGTCAAGGCTGTGGTTTTAGCAAAGTTCTCATCCATAAGGTTGTCTGCAGCACCAGAATCGATCAAGGCTTTGGTTGTTATAGTGGTTTGATTGACCAAAAGAGTAACCGTAATAAACGGTCTAGAGATGGACCCTTGAGGGGAAAAAATCATAACACCCAAGGCCGACCCCTCTCTAGGCCTTAGGTGCTGGAGTTTCCCTGCAATTTAGGGTAGGTTCTTTGGAGATGCCCCCTCTTCCCACAATAGAGACATAACCCCTCCCTTCTGCGATACGCTCTTTCGGCTTCAGTTAACCCTGTAGCACCCAATTGCATGGGTTCGGGAGCTGGTTGATTAGGAGGAGGTAACGCAGTACTGGGTAAAGCAGGTAGTCTCTGTTTATGCATTCGTCTTTGACTACGCCTCTCTCTAATACGGTTGTCAATAAGAATGATATAGTCTATTACATCATTCAGAAGAACAGGCGTCTTATTTGGGTCACAGTTATGTGTTTGAAATGCATTGATAAATTGTGTTGTATGAAACCTTTTTTTAATATTCCTTATGTGCTCGTTAATTCTTACATATAGAGGTCTTTAAGTCCTCCCTACACCCTCCTCCCTTGCACGTTAACAAATAAATCACCTGTTTTGTATGACAAGTGATTAGATTTCTTATTGAGTGTTCGTGCATAGCAAGACCACTTAATGTTATCTCACATATATATTATTCTTATTATAGCCAAATTTACCACCCTAACTCCTCCCACAGTTTTTGCACTACATAGACAGTAATATACTTTGTGGAACGTTTCGCCGAATGGTTCATGGAATATCGTCGTTCTTGTGGTGAAATTGGTCCTATTGGAATGAATGGCAAAATGTTCAAAACTAGAGTGGGAGCTGGCAAAAGCTGAAAAATCAGGACATGATTTCTAAACTGCCACCACTCCCTCATTTTCAAGCCGACCTACACAAATCTTATATCAAAACATTCAGCTATCCCTGCTGCCACTAAAAATGTCCACGGCTAAGCCATAGTCCTGATCGCTTTCACAGTACTACCATTTGTTTGCAACTCACGCCGGCCATTGACATTCATTGAAACTCCACTCTAGCCAGCTCAAACTTGAAGGGCAATTTCTAAACTGCGACTGTGCCTTCATTTTTAATGCCTCAGAGACATACTATGCATCAATGTAGGCCTGGGTCTTGCGATTCTCTTGTTAAGCTCTTCGCTGTAGGATGTATATTTTTTAAAATACGACCGTTTGAAGATGGCAACCGCCAAAATACTCTGACCTGTGCCAGGCTGGAGCAGCAAGTGATGTCATAGGCAGGGCCTTTTGTACACCTGCTAATGTTTTTATAAATGTATGTTTTAATGTAACTGTGAAGCACTTTGGGCAACAAAGTTGCAATTAAATGTGCTATATAAATAAATAAAAGTTGAAATGCATTTCTCACTCTATCAATATCGGTATCTTTAGTGGCCAATACCGATATTGCCGAAAAGACCAAATATCGGCCGATAATATCGGTAAAACCGGTAATCGCTCAATCCCTAGTTGTAGACTACTGCTGGAGGCAAGAACACTTCACACAATTTCCCCAGAAATTCTAGCTTTTCTAGTTTTATATTCTTTTTGTCTGTCAGGATTTTTAAATGTGGTTATATGTCTTTTCTTACTCCCTGTTTGTCAACAAGCTATGTATACACCGCATCCAAAAAAAAGTCCTTGTCCCCTAACGAAAGCTAGGGCTCCCTGCGCGTCCCCAGCAAAATAGGACGTAAAAATAGAAAAACAACCACGGACAAGCCGTCCTCGGGGCTTACTATAGGGGATATGTGGAGACAGGCACGAGGCCCACGCGGATCCAATATGGCGGCGCTCCACGGAGGCTGCTCAGACTTCTCTGAAGAAGAATCTGGAGAGGAGTACCTACCAACGCTTGCAGCGGGACAACCCCCACAGCAGCACAAACCCAACCCGGACTCAGCTCCGGTAACAACAGCGGTCTTAAAACAACTACTCAATGACCTCCAAACAACACTGCAAAAGGACATCACAGCGGTGCAAGGAGACCTGAAGGGCCTGACGACCCGCATGGGTGCCCTCGAAAAGACATCCACAACCAACACCAAGGCTATTGGGGAACTTCAGCGGGCTGTAAGTGACCTGCAAACAAAACAGCGCAGACACGAACTCCGCCTCGCGGAATACGAGGACGCTAGGCGGAGAACCAACCTGAAGGTACGTGGGATCTCGGAAGCAACACCCGATGCAGAGCTCCCGCGGCTAGTCAAGCAATTGCTCGCCGACATACTGGCGCCCTCACACGTCCATAGCATTAGCCCTGAACGCATCTTCAGGATCCCCAAGCCACCTAGAGCGCCGACCACGGCCACCAGGGACTTAATTATTACCTTTCGCAACACCCAGGACAAAACGACAATCCTTAAAGCCATTAGGGGGAAGGCACCCCTCCAATTCAACAACATGACACTAAACTTCTTCACTGACCTCTCGAACGAGACCCTGGCATGGCGACGCTCCTTCCAGCCACTCACCGCACTACTCCGAAATCATGACCTCCAATACAACTGGCGGCCTTCCCATACGCTCGTTGTACAGCAGGGAACGGAATCCCACAAGCTACAGGACCCAGCCGACGCAGCGCAGCTACTGCAGGCCTTGGGCCTACCTCCGGACTCACTCAACCAGGTAGCCCAACAAGGCATCAACTCACCACAGCACTCCTGGGACCCGACGAGAACAGTCCCATTCATACCCCAGGGACTAACACCCGACCCATATGTAGCGGTAACTACATAAACGGAGAACGGCGATTTTAAAACCAGCCGCACATGGACGAGGGGAGACCTCCAAATTTTTTTTATTTTTTTTATTTTTTTTTTTATTTTTGTTTTTTTTTTTACCACAGATAATGGCCTCACAGGGACATTTGCAACTTGTATTTAATGCTGATCCTCTAATGTTATATCATAATTTGTTTTCTGTACCTAGATTGAACCTGTCTTTAAAGCCTAGCTAGACATGACTCGTTGCATATGCCTTCACCCACAAAAATTGCCTACATGCGGATGTAGCTAAGTTCCATTGTATTGCTTGGTGACATGGGCAGGAATGGTTCGCCTCACGTTACCTGGGTTCATAATTTTTTCTGTTCTATTGATGTTGACTCGTTTTAAATGTTTAACACAACTGCATAGGCACCCACACTTACAACACGTACCTAAGCAACAAGATCAAACAGATGCCGATTAACAAATCCGCTTAAATACCTTAAGCGAGGTACAACCTCTCAGACAACATTACATAAAGGCTTTTAGCCTATACATACGCAAACAGGGCCCTTTTGATATGGATGGCAAGCACTTACTCTTACTCATTTAGAAATGTTAATTTCCAACTAGTCTAACATAAGCATAAACCTTTTTACATCGACCATACGCTCACAACCTGAAATGTTGCAATCACGTAGGGCAACATGCAATTAAAACACACAAGCAGTGCACACCACTAGATAGACACGTATACCTAACCAACTTAAGCAAGAACTATGCTTGATTCTCTCACCGCATCTACCCAAAGCCTTGAACATGTTCATAGCAAATAACCCTTGTGTTGCAAAACCTCTAAGAGGTTAATACCTTGCCCGATACAACCTATTAATACCTACCTTGCTCTAGACAGTTTCATCTCTGTACGAATATGTTATATAATCAGCCAAGGCGCAAACCCATAGCCAGATACTTAGCCTGTGATTTACACGACAACAAATACTTAATATGTTTTTGCTTTTAGTTTGAAACTGTTCTTTAATATGTATAATGCCATACCGGTCACCTCACATATAGTGCATCTTAGCATCGTATGTCTTTAACTGTTTGAATATAGTATACTTGCAACCAAAAAAAAAAAAAAAAGAGGCAACTTTTTGCTGGAGCTTTTGCTCCTTGATTGCACTCATGGCTCATGTGAGCACCTACTGTTATATTCTGATATGTATTACTCAAATGCCTCAATAAAATAAAGAATTTACAAAAAGGCCTTGTGAAGGAATGTTTTTTGTTTCTTTTCTCTAGTGTGGTTATTCGTGAGTTTAGTAGCTGAGTTTGGGGCACCTCTATATATAATTATAGGTTTTTATAATTGTTAAAATTACAGATAAAAGGTATATTATGTATAGAATCTTTATTTTTTACCATATATTCAAAGAGTGTTGATCTATCTTTTACTTTGACTTCCTCTATTGCTTCTTGGAGAATACTGTCCTTATATCCCTTTTCCAAAAAACTATTTTTTAATCTATCCGCTTTAATGTCATATGTGGCTATATCTATACAATTTCTTCTAATTCGAAGAAATTATGCTTTTGATACATTTAGTAGCCACAGAGAGAAATTACAACTTTGTAAGTGAATGTAATTGCTTACATCGACGGATTTGAAGTATGTTTTGCTCTTTATTCAACTATTTTCAATATATATGTTTAAGTCTAAAAAATTCACACTGTATTGAGTTATTATTATTGAAGTCAGGTATTAGGGTTGTTCCCCAATTGTTAAAATCTTTACATGCTAAAAACAACTTTTTAAACTTTCTTCGGGACCTTACCATTATAAAAAAAAATATCATCTATGTATTGATGATAGGAAACAAGGTTTGCACCCCAGTCTTCATTTTGTAAAATAAAAATATGTTCCCAAAGTGCCATGAACAGATTTGCATAACTGGGTGTAAACCTTGTTCCCATTGCATTGCCACAAATTTGTAAATAAAATTAATTATGGAACCAAAATAAATTATTGTGCAAAATTAGGTCTATACCTTGTATGATAAAATTGATTTGTTCTTGAGGGTATAGTTGTGATTTCTGTAAGAAAAATTCCACTGCTTCCTTTCCTCTATTGTGTGGTATAATAGTATGCAGGGAGCTAATGTCCGCTGTTACTAATATGTAATTTTCTTTCTAAATAATATTTCTCAAAACTTGAAGAATGTTTAAAGTATCTGAGTTTTTTGTACAATGGGTTGGAGGCAGTGGTCTATATTTTCCGATATTCTACTGGAAATCGAATAGATTTTAGACTTAAATATATCTATTGAAAATAGTGAGATGAAGACCAAAACATACTTCACATCCATCGATGTAAACAATTACATTCACTTACAAAGTTGCCATTTCTCTCTGTGGCTACTAAATGTACCAAAATCACAATTTCTTCGAATTCAAAGAAATTGTACACACACAACCACATGACATTCAAGCAGATAGATTCAAAAATAGTTTTTTTTGGAGAAGGGATTTAAGGACAATATTCTCCAAGAAGCAATAGAGGAAGTCAAAGTAAAAGATAGATCAACACTCCTTGAATATAAGGCAAAAAATAAAGATCCTACGCTTAATATACCATTTATCTGTAATTTTAACTCTAAAAACAGAGAAATAAAAAAGATCATAAACAAATTTTGGCTGATTCTAAGAGGAGATCCACTATTATATAACTTATTACCCGAAAAACCTATGATTATAGGTGCCCCAAACTTAGCTACTAAACTCACGAATAGCCACACGAGAGGAAAGAAACAAAAAACGTTCCTTCACAAGGACTTTTTTTTGGATGAGGTGTATGTATAGCTTGTCAACAAACTGGGAGTAAGAAAAGATATCTAACCACATTTAAAAATCCTGACAGACTAAAAGAATATAAAATAAGAAATCTAATCACTTGTCATAGAAAACAGGTGATTTATTTGTTAGAGTGAATTTGCAATTTATATTATGTAGGTAGGACTAAAAGACCTCTATATGTAAGAATTAACGAGCACATATGGAATATTAAAAAAGGTTTCATACAACACAATGTATCAATGCATTTCAAACAAACACATAACTGTGACCCAAAATGTCTAACATTTTTAGCAATCCAAAAAGTAGAGACAAATTGGAGAGGGGAGGACATTACAAAAACATTGGGCCAAACAGAGATGCGGTGGATCTTTGACTTGCATACTCTAACTCCACATGGTTTAAATTTAGATTTAGAATTATGTCATTTTTTTTATTTTTTTTTATTTTCCCTTGAATATATTGAAATAAATCTAATTTAATTTCTTTTTTTAAGACTTTATTTGGGTCATTTACCCAATTTAATATAGAATATAAACCAAGTTTGTAATTATAGTATTAATATCTGAGAGTTTAGATATTGTTATAAATGCATTCCTTAGGTCTAATATTTTACTTATTTTAATATTTATTTTATTCATTTTTATTTACTGTAATTTTATATACATTCTATATACATTCTATTTGACATCAGAACTGTAATAGATACAGGTTACTTCATTTAATTAATAATACTAGATGGTTTTTAAGTCACATTTGCCCTTACTCTGGAAGTTGCTATCTATTCTGTGCAATATGAACATATAAATTAACTATGTTTATGTGTATACATTTTTATTTATACTCAAATGAATGGACTCCTATTCAACACTAAACACCGTGTGCGGAACAAATAAGCGCAGAGGATCACGGGCGCTGTAGTTCTGAACCAAAACATTGAGAAAGGAGGAAAAGCATAAGCTCCTTGAAACTGCCAAATCTGGAGAAAAGCGTCCACAGCCTCGCACTCAGGATCCGGAAGCCAGCTTAAAAATCTCTGTAACTGTCTGTTGGTCCGGGATGCAAATAGGTCCAACTGGAGCAGTCCCTGCAGAGTCCTCAGTGTGTGGAATATCGAGACATTCAGTCTCCAGTTGCTGATGTCCCTCCAGTGTCTAGAGAACCAGTCCAGCAGTAGGTTATCGATTCCTGGTAAGTACTCTGATGTTGCGGGGCAGGCAGAATTGGTATATGTTCTTTGTCGTCTCTGTGAGGTCCCGGGATCGCAGTTCATGTATTGAACCACCGATATGTTGTCCATGTGGAGGATGCAATCCGAGACATCTTTTAGTTAGACTGCAAATTGCAAACGAGGCTGCGATCAGTTCCAGACAGTTTATCTGGAGAGTCATCTCCTCTTTGGCTCACGGTCCACCTGTGGAAGCGTGTGCGCAGTGGGCAACCTATTCCACGCCAGTACGTGAAGCAACCTCAAATGGAGTTCAGTCCTTACTTCGGGTGTTACTGGTATCCAATGGTCGTAAGAGTGACCCGTCCATAGATAATGAGTTGCCGCCACTCTTAAAGGAGGAGGACATCCTACCTGCGAGGGTGGAGAGTATCCCCGAACTGTCTGTAGAATCCAACCATCTGTTGAAATAGCCTCCCTGTTCTGTGAAAAAAGGGACAGTCTGCCAGCAGTTATAACGTGTTCCGGTTGAAATTCGAGCTTGACGCAGGGTAGAATGATGGAGGAGGTAGTTGGTGTCTGGGACCTGTGTGCCAGAAGCAGCTGGTTGCATGGCCCCTCTGCTGACAAGCCCTGTCAAAAACACCCTGGCAGGTTGAAATACTTGTGTCAACGATGATTGGGCTTTGTTGAGGTTGGTGAAGTGATTCACATGCTTCAGTGATAAAAGGTTCACCAAATACTAATCCATTTGCCAATGGTCTTAGTTCTCTCTTTCCTAGATCCAGGAGCTTGTTGTCAATTTTCAGAAGAGCGGCCTTACGTTTTTCTGTGCAAAGTGCCGCATTTGTGTTACCCAGCATACAGATGGCTCACTGAGCCCCCTAGTATCGTTTGGCTCCAGTGGGGTGTTGCGTGAGAGCGCAAGATTTGCATAGTATAGGATCTTTGCCAGGGGACCCAACATATCCAGGAGATTATCCTGTGTAGCATTCAGCCCATTTTCTATCCCCTTACGAGGGTCACGTCCCGTCCACGCCATGAAGATTACTATAGTGGTATCAAACTCTGGGCTGGCACCTACTTTATCGGGGAGAATCAAACAAGGGCATTCTGTGCGAAGGCGTGCGTTCCTCCTTCTCCAATGGCTTTCTTAAGCAAAAACGCATGTATTGTGCGTATTCCATTCGGAAGATCTTGGGTGTCATACTGCCCATGGGTCGAATAGAGGTAGACCCTGGGTTTCAATAAAGACGTCTTTATCAGTGTTTGCAATCTTGAGACCACCCTTTCTACGTGGGGAATGCTTCACTACATATTCTTTAACGTAATGTGATTCTGTACCCGGCATATCGTGCCAGTCGTCTTCATCAGAGGTTGAGCCGTCTGCTCGCCATTCTTCCACTATCGCCATAGTGGGTGAATTGGGATAAGAACCTTCGTCCTTGGACCATGGAAGTGGAGGAGGGAGAACTTTGTGTAAATTTACACACTTAAGTCTCTTTAAATTTCCTGGTTACGGAACCTGAGCCTTTCCAGTCTTTTTTTAGGAATGGCCATGGGTACCCTGGATGTCTCAGAGCCCTATGCTCCTTCCACATCTTGGTTGTCGGATGGGAGTTGTCCCGTGTTTTCAGGTGGGAGCTTGTGCACTCCAGAAAGTGCCTTTTCCACTGACGCTGCTACTGCAGCATTTATCATGCTTTGATAAATATTGAGTCGGGGTCTGTGATGGTTCAGACATCATGCCACAAGGTTCCTGTAATGGAAGAATGGAATACATGGAGCAATACGTGTGCACCACGTAATGTTGCAGGGTGTCTGGCTTCTAGTATAACTGGACCACACCCAGAATTGGAGTGCAATAATATAGTATGCACGGAGTGGTTGAAGTGCCAAAGAATGGGGGTCACCCTCTAATGACCGGTACCAGCATAGTATTGGAGACACTGACAGTCTCAGAAATAGGGTCACCCCTGTATTGTCCTGTAGGATTGGACGGGAACCATGGAGGGGTCACCCTCAATAAAAACTACCCGCCAACTGGTCGGGGCATGTGAATGTGGGGTTCACCCCAGTTACACAGTGGAGCTGTACCTCTGTGACACCAAGTAAATTGTATTTGTAAACATATAAGTTTAGGCACTCGAGTGTGTGGGGGGGTTACCCCAGTAGCAGTGAGGGGGGTCACCCTTAATATAATGTAGCCACAGGTCGCTGTTAATGATGTCAGGAGGGTTAGTCCGGTTAAGATGTCATATGGTACCCTTAAATATACATATAATATTAAATTCTCTGCAATGAAGTCCCAGGATTGTTATGGCACAGAGAAGGGGGTCACCCCATACAATGCTGTGGTGAATAAGTATCCTTAAGTTGTGCAGATGAGGTGCATACCAGTAGGTCCTTAGCCTTAGAATAGTGTGTGTGACTGTGGGTCACAGGGTAAGCCTGTGGGTCCTTAACAGGCAAGCAACACATATACTGCAATTGTATTGATTGAAATCATATATTGTGAAAAACAACTGGCATGAACAGAGATGCAACAGTGAAACAAGAGTATTAAACCTGATCAGATCGTATTAATCATGATCTAATTGACCTAAAATGGCCGCCAAGGATTCGCGAATTCCAAGATGTCCACTGTGGCAAAAATAACCTCGCCACTGGGTTTTGGAGAGGTCTGCTTGCCAGCCTCTTGCCCTGTGACTATGGCCCCTTGGGTGTATTGCCATTTAAAAAGTCTATTTGGGCTTTTTGGATTTTAAAACACTTTTTCTGCCCCTTTAAATCCATGGGAAAATGTGCCTCTTCCCCTCCCCCTTTTTCCTGTCCTATTGTTCTCCAGCAGGGCGTTGTCCCAGGGACACTGCCAGACCAGTTGAAGCTGTCTGCTTTGTCCCTCCTCAATCTCTCACCAGCCCTTGCTATTGTTTAACCACATGGTGTTCCAACTGTATTCGTGAGATCTGAGTGCTTTTTCTGACATATTGAGTGCTCAGATCCAAGCTGGGGATATGTTGGACATATAGGTTAAACATTGTATTATTATGTGGTTATGTTATGTATTTTTATGTGGTTTTTGTAACAGTTTTAAATTAGAGATATTCCTTGGACCTGGAGATAATTAAGTTACCACACCCACTTAAGCCAATTATCTCCAGGACAGAGGAGAAGATAGATCGGCTGCACAGCCTAAATCTGTGGAACTGTTTTGGGAAGGAAAGCCATGCTTGCAGTCGGTCAAATGTGACTTCCATGGAATTCGTTAACCCCTGTTTTGATCTGGGTGATTTTTAGATATGTTGTTCACCTAGATCAGGGCTATCCAGTGATGTATATGCGGTGTTTTGGGGTGTTTTCTGTGTTTTGGGAAAATGTGTGTTTTCTGCCTGTGAGCATTTAAGTTAGCCCATTGTGTTTGTTAATTGTATGACAGGCAGAGGGGAGGGTTTGTGTGCATTATCTGGGAGTGTCTAAACTGTACAAGTCTGTCCTGATTGATTTTGTAACTTTGTATCCTGTGTATCACAAGGTCCACGTGGGTGGTAACCTTGTGGGAAAACCTGTATATAAGAGACAATAAACCCTCAGACTGCTGAGTTCCTGTTTTACCCTCAACATAGAGCCTCGTCTCATGTGTGGGGGGAAAGGCTGCATCTACACTGGGTATTACTATATACTCTGGCTATAATCACTAAACTCTTTTAAGAGATTTTTCCTGCTTCGCTCTCTGAAGGAAGAGAGGTTCACCCACTGGAGCCTCTGGAGCCTTGGTCCAGGGTGGGTTGGAGACGGTGAGACCCAAACCAAGCTGCGGCGGTATGTGGGGTCTGAAGTGCTTATGGTGTCGAGTGGAGTGCTTGGAGCCCTTGGGAAGCACAAGGAGCATCCATCAACGGAGGTATCCAGTCGGGGTGCCAGGTGATACGTTACAACCACCATACGCTCCAAAATCTCGGATAGGGAGCCTGTGAAATTGCGGTCCTGTCGGCCCAAAAAACTAGTACATCCCACACCCCCAGCACCCACCCAGGCCCTTAAAACACCGTGGAAGTTTCCTAAAAAAAGGGCACGATCGTGGCAATAGAGGCCGCAACGCGTCCACAGAGGGAACAGGTCTAAGGGCTAGCTGTGGCAGCCCAGACCTGAAGACCCTAGGAAACAGCAAATAACTTTAGATATAGAGTGGGAACAAGATGTTAACACATACAGGGTGGGAGGGAAGGTGAGCAAACACATATAGCAGTTATAAACAGTATAAGTTATAGGCAATATAATAAGTAATGGTATAGTAGTAAGACATGATGGAACAAAATACTCTGACCTGTGTCTGCAGGAGCAGCAAAGAAAGAGGAAGAGCTAAAGGGAGAGGGGCCTTTTATATCCTTTTACAATATGTTTTTTTCACTAAACGTTATTGTTAAATCTGTGCTGTTGGAGTTTAGTAAAGAGAGTTTAATGCAAAATATGAAGCCTCCTGTCATGTTATAAAATTACTTGCCAATATAACAACAACATAAGCTTACCAAAGGTAACAACCACAACCTAGTGTAAAGTTGTTACCATTTATAGTGTTACAATGGTAAAATTAGCAACTCCGTGTTGTGCCTAAGCATGCTGTCCTGAGGAAAGTCCCAATCCGGGACTGAAACGTTTACTACATATGGCATCTACTTTTTGTCTTTGATGTGAAAAATAAAGGCTCCATTTTAAACGGGACTGTGAGTGCGGACCATCACTTGGAATATATATATATATATATATATATATATATACGCACAGACATATACACACATAGCTACACTCACAGATACACTCACAGCAGACACACACTCACACATACACATATACTCAGACACACACTCACTCACAGACACACACATACACTCACAGAACACACAAATTATTATTTTTTAAAATGTAAAAATGTCCCTACCTGGAGAGCTGGCGTGGACCTGTCCCTGGGGTCCAGTGGGGCTTCAGTGTGGCGGGCACCTGTCTCCCTGTTGTCGCTCGGGCTGTCTACTGAATATGACGTCATATTCCGGCTCCCGGCATCAGCAAAGGGCGCGCGAGGGAGCAGAGCAGAGAGGTTAGAGCTCCATATTTAGGGGTATAAATTTGTGCTGCACTTGCACTTTAGTGTTTTGGAGGTGGGGCGCACACTACATTCACTAAACACACACTCTCTACAGCCTCTTAACATACTTCATCACCTATACACATACATATACCCTACTGCCTGAATGCACACACTCACAACATGCCCTACACAAACTATGCCCACTAAACACACACACACTCTGACTCTCTACAACCCGTAGCCACACATTTTACACCACAAACACAACACAACTTAATCCAACCTATTTACACAAATTACCACATCACAATCAGCTCACTCTACACACACACACAATCACACAAGCAGCTTCCAAACACATGAACAATACGCTTTCCTGGCCCTTTTGTCCTCTGGTATCCCACTTATGGAGACACCAGAGACACGTCACAAGCAAACACAAGAGCTCTTCAGCAGGACTTTGCACATAGGCTGCCCTGAAAGAGCATTGAGAGTGATTGTCATTGGTGATGGCAAAACACCCCTCTCTGGCCTTGCCTCCTTCTCACTGGGCCACTGTGATTAAAAAATGCCCAGGTGAGTAGCTGCTGTTTCTGCTGCTAAGGACCGGTGGGTAATGTGCTGAGTGTCTTCTACAGCTGCTAGCTCCGTTCATAATAGGATCATCTCTGATCGAATAGTGCCATGTAGGTCTTCAGAAAGAACCTGCATGTCTTGTTTCATATCTACTGTGGCTGCTAAGGGCCGGAGGTCTGCACTTATTTGGGCTAATGTGGTCTGCTCGGGAATCGACTCAGGCGGTGCTGGCGGGGAAGGTTTCATCTTGGAGCCGGAGTCCACTTGTTGCGATCAGGATGTGGAATGCAGAAATCCATCCAAAGGTCCCAATTAAGATCTCGTTTGGGAGCCTCTCTGACTCTTTTATTATGGCCCATTTTTGGTGCTGGCAACTTTTTAATAGTGATTTGTATGTTGAGTGGAAAGGAACTCTCTGTTCAGGCTGCCATCCCAGTCGGAGGCCAAGCCACTACACTCTCTTGTGACAGAATTCCCTCCAGAGACCTGAATAGCCCAAAATTAATCTTCACATCTAATCATATGTAGGAAAACTTTATATGAGCATAGAAATGGGGTCACTATCAGAAGTGTATGGCTGGCATTGCAAAAATGAGACCTGTGCTCTTTGATTTGAACATGACAGATTGACCTTAGTGTAGTGGAGCTTCTGTACTCCGACTCAGTACCTCTGCCAGGTCAGCTTCCTTTCTGCTAGCAGGGACTCTGGAGCGCTTCAGACCCAGTTGCCAAATCTTGAGTGGGGTCTCTGA